TCAGCTCAGGTTGCTAAGCCACTGTGAAGAAAAGGGCCAAACATACATTAGCAGTAGAAGTCCTGTGACAAGCTAGCCTAGAAAACAGAGGGCTGTGAGAAAATAGCCTGGAAAACAAGGCAGGTGGCCATGTGCTGCATGATTATAAAATAGCTGGAATTTCCTTACTTGCCTGGAACATCGTGCTTAGGTAGATTAAGCTATTGTAGTACATTTGACCAGCGACAAAGCTGTGAATAATTTAGATGAGCTGGTGTCTGGCAGACTGAGACAGTCTGAGTTCAGCTGTAGACAAGTACTACCCATGGATGATGTTGTGTGAGTAGAAAAGAAAACAGAGACACAAATGTCCAGTGTGGACAAAGTGTGGACAGCCTTTGCAGAGCCTCTTGTAGTTTGTCAAGCACAGACTGCAAACTCTTCTATATTGACACACTCTCGTATATCCATGGACACCCCCATAGCTGCTGTAAATATGGAAGGCTTTGCTTTTCTGCTATCGTAGAATCACAGAATAAAATCAACGGGATTGGAAAAGACCTCCAATGTCAGGGGTGACAGCGGGTCTGTTAGCACCTTGGAACATACCGACGAGGCAATAGATGTTGACCAGGTCAAAGTATACCCCTGAGATGGCCTGAAAAGAGAGGACTGAAAATGGAGGCCCTGATCCTGACAACATACTGATGCATCCTGAGGAAGCTGTCCCGTGGGAACAGAGAACACTGTCTCATGAAAACAGGAGCACTGTCTCATGAGAACAAGGACCTGTTTTGAATGAGAGTAGTTGGGAAAAACATCAACACAAGAGAAAAATAAGAGCAGGTGCTCAGGACTGTTGTGGGAAAGAACTGGGCTGTTTCGAGAAAGAGCAAAGTTGTTGTGAGAAAGTAGAGTTTAGAAAATGCACCTATTAGCTGTAAGAATTCTGGTGTGAAAGTTTGAACTGTCCTATCCGTGTGTATTACGTGTGTGCAAAAACTGTACTTAAGGGGCTGCGCAGCAGCCCCGTTGTCCCTGCTTTTTTCTTGGAATAAACTTTGCTGGAACCTTTTTCTTCGTGTCGCTTTGGCCGTTCCGACACTATCAGCAACACTCCAAGGTCATCAAGTCCAACCCTTGATCCAACACTGCCATGGTTACCACGGATGTAAGGTTCAGATTTTTCCCTTTGAGCCAAGCTCCCAGCTTGACCTCTGTAGCCCATCTAACTGATGAATCGTAGTGGCACCTTGCAGTCAGTGGAACATGGCTTCTGTGAGAAATATGGAACAACACAGGAGATGACTGATATTTCTCTTGAAGTTGTGCCAATGTCAGCTCCTAACTATGTCTCTATTGGCCTGTTGACCTGTTTTTTTCCCCACAGTAATCAACACTTTATTTCAGCAGCAGAGGTCTTCCATTCATATATTTCACCATTTTTGTCTAGATTTTCTTTACATTTCTGTGAAAACCCACTATACAGATCTATATACATTTTACAACTTGAAATTAAAATTTAAGCAAAATTTGATTAAATCCTCCCATCTCATTGTGTGACCTCACAAGAGCAATTCAGAATTTCCAGACCTAGTATTCTGGAATTTGTCTTTAGAATTTCCAGAACAAGGATTCTGGAAATGCCTCGTTTATTTTCACCGAATATAAGGACATAATTTTCATGAAGGATTTTTTTTTTTTTTTTTACAGCTTCAAATCAGTATTTAAAAAACAACTGCCCAAGGCCTTTGCTCATTTTATGTGTATATACTGCAAGCAGCATTTGAACATACAGCTCAATCTAACACTAACCACCTGATTATAGTAAAAGCAAATGCATTTGCAATGGAGCAAGGTATCTGGGAGCAGCCTGAGACTGCACTAAGGTTCCTGGACTGTACGAGTGTGTTGGCAAAGGGGTTTGTAGCCTCTCATTATGTCTGCCAGCTTTCCCTTGACTGCAGCTGTGTTACAGAACTTCTGCCTGCATTGACTCAGAGCCACTTGAACCACTTCCACTTCTTATTGCCAGTCTGGAGTGGGAAAAATAAACCAAAATCACTGATGGAAAGCATTTTGCTTTGGATTTGCTGTATCTAAGATATCTACAAATAAAAGGAAACAGGGTTCAATTGTACTTTACAGAGCTTTTCTGGACTAACAATAACTTCTGTTTCTATTCAGTTCCCATCCCACCACTGATTTTTGTGAGAGTAAACTGCATAGACTTGGCTACCTGCTACTGGATGTGTGATTTCATCGAAATGAAGGAGATACCTTATGCCAGGAGCAGTGCCTTTTTTTTTTTCTGTTGCACAGTATTTGCCAGCATGTGAAACGAGTTTTATCTTGTTAGCTGCCTTCTATGTAAAGAAATAGTTTTCTTAACAGGTAATTAATCTGTTTGGAAACACCTTCATGGCTTGATGTCAGCTGCAGTGTTTCTTCATGGTGACATTGGATCACAGGTTGCAAGGGAGGAGATTATCAAATAACCTGTGCCTGCATTTTCCCAATAGGATTCATGATTTCTGTGTAATTTGATGGTTTTATTTCACAAAGCGTAAGATACTACTGGCATGCAAACTTCAGGTATCTCTGACCTCTTTTGAACTTGATAACTGGAGCTTTCTGTTCTGCATTTCAGTTGTGCTTTGATTAAGACTTTGAAAGAACTGTTCTTTGATGGAATCTTGTATGAGGCATCTCTCTTGAGGCAAGTTAAAACCTGTGCTTTAAAACATGGCATTTGCATCTTAATCAATACTGAGACACAGTGAATTAATCTGTGCGTAGCCCTGAAGGGATCTCCTTGGGAGATTAGTTTCTGTCCCTTTAAGACCTTACACCTGCAAGGAATAGAAGCACAACAGTGGTGTGGAGCTTGTGGGTGTGGATGGAAGCTTGAATCTGTGCTATACATCTGTGTATTTCCGTAAATACAGGCAGGGAAATTCCTAAACACCTCTGGAAGTGAATCATCTACTATACTGCACATAGGATTATTAACTTGGTTGGGATGAATGAGCAGCGTTTGCATTCAGGAGCATATCATGATGGACTTGATATCTTCCTCCTCTTGGTTCAGCACAACCCTCCCTGAATACAAAATGGTTGCATTTCTGTGCTTTAAGGTTTCTTCCAACCCACACCATACTATGATTCTGTGATTTCGTTAAAAAAAAAAATATATATATATATATATTTAATTGTTTTTAAGCCTTGCAGACCAGATGCAATAAAACATCTGACTGTGCAGGCAGTTTTTAAACAAATACTGGTATCTCACCAAAGCACATGGTTTTTAAACATGAGCTTTACAGAACTCTGGGGTGTAATGCTCAGCCAGTAAAGAATGAGATGAAAAACCCAGCTTTCCATTTTTAGTACCATCATAAAATGAATGCAAGTGTTTTTACACAAAAAGTAAAGACCTATAAGGTGAAGATTGTGACCATTTTGTGCCTTTTTTACCTCCTCATGTACATCTTCCAGACCCCTGAGTGACCCTAGCCCTACCATGCTGTAAGAAGCTCTGCAGTCTGCTGCAGCAGACCTAAGGTTTTAAATTCACATATTTGATATGGCTTCAGGTACTGTGGAATGCAAAACTCTGAGGCAAAACATAGGAGGAACTAAATCCAGATGTTACAGACCGACTGGTGGAAACTGGTCATCCTCTTCTTACACATGCTCAAACTGATCAGCTGCTTCAATATGGGTGGAATTCCCAAACACTCTCCTCTGTTTTAAAGGATAGGTCAAATGTTCAATGAGCTTTCTCTTTCCTACCCATATTAAGAGTAGCCAGTGCCTGCAGACCACAGAAGATGCCACCTAGGTTCATTTAATTCATGTAGTTTCTGTGTGAACAACACACAATGTCATTACAACTTTGGGGTGTTTTCAGGTTCTTTGTTTGTTTTTCACTTTTTTTCTTTGTTATTCCATGAAATTTGCCATGTAGATGAAATTGGAAATTATCACTGTATTTTTAGGGATTTTTTTAGTGTTTTCCATTTCCTAGAAATGTTCAAAAAGTTGGAAAAAGAAAATCAGAGAGGTGAACCTCAGTTAGAACTTAATCTGACCACCTCTTGAAAGATAATAAGTACTTTTAAAAATAAATTAAGTACAAAAGGAGGGGCAAGAGAAACTTCCATTCTTTATTGGACACAGCAGGGAATAGTCAGCAAAGACGAGGTACTTAGCACCTTCTCTGCCCCAGTCTCCAACAGTGAGATGAGTAATCCTCAGAACAGTTGGCCTCCTGTGCTGGTAGGCAGGGACAAGGAGCAGAATAGACTCCCTGGAATCCAGAAGGAGGTAATTAGTGACCTGCTGTGCCACTTAGGTGCTCACAAGTCTATGGGACTGGATGGGATCTATCCTAGGGTGATGAGGGAGCTGGCAGAACAGTTTGCTTTAGGTTAGGTTGGACATTAGGAAGAATTTTTTCACGTAAAGGGTGATTAGACTTTGGAACGGGCTGCTCAGGGAAGTGGTGGCATCAGCTTTCCTGGAGGTGTTTAAGAAAAGACTGTGCGTGTCACTCTGCACCATGGTCTAGTTGACAAGGTGGTGTTCAGTCACAGGTTAGACCCGATCTCAGAGATCTTTTCCAACCTAAATTGATGCTGTGATTGCCTGGGAAGACCTCCGTGACAGACTCGCTGTCCCAGTCAGCTCGGTGCCCTCGTTGATGTCGGGCCGGCACAGCAGGTCCGGGCTCCGGGCACATGGAGGAGACCCCACACCTCCCCTGGGCCAGGACACCACCAGCGGGCTCCCAGAGGCCACATCGGAGGGGAGTGAGCCGGAGGAGCCCCTCGGGGAGCAACGCGTGGCACAAGAGATGCCGGAGCCCCGTGGGATCCTGCTCGCTGCCGGTCTCGGAGAGCCGGGGCGGGGGGGTGAAGGAGGAGGAGGAGGAGGAGTCTCCGGCGGGCCCGGGAGCCGCTCGGAGAATGTCTCCGTCGCATTCCTCCTCCTTCTTCTCCTGCCCCTTTGCCGCTCAGCCCTGGGCCGGGAAGAGCCGCCGTTCGGAGCATGGGGAGCTGCTGGCTGCGCCTCGCCGCGCTGCTCGCCCTGGGCGCCCGGCCCAGCCTGGAGTACCAGGGTAGGGAAGGGCAGGAAAGGGGAGGGGACGGGGCAGCGGGGCTAGGAGCACTCCGGGGGGCGCGGGGAGCGGAGCCGTCTCGTCCCGCTGGGCCGGGGGCGGGGGGCGCGACATGAAGTTCTGATACAGAAATATCATCACAGAGGCACCGCTTTTCCCCCGGAGTGAATGCTCACCTCCTTTTCCTGTGCCAGAATTTTGCAGCGGCATAAGCTCATACTTTCTCAGAATCTCCCTTCAGGGTTCTTATTAGGAATATTAAAAGCCAAATGACCCATTATGTTAATAACATAAAAAAAAATACACTAAGGTAGACAAAACAGTGAGTTACCAGTCCTGTTTCCTGACATACTTTATTTCATGCTCTAAAGTGCTCTTTGGGTTAAGGACAGTTTACAGAACCTGAAGATATGGCCTTATACACAAGAGAAAGGTTGTTGTAAAATGATTTTCTAGAACATCTCTTTTAATGCTCCGCTAAGCAATGTCGCTATGTGCCACTTATAGGCATCTATTTAATACCTCCAGGGATGGTGACTCAACCCCTTCCTTGGGTAGCCTGTTCCAATGCTTTTGACAACCCTTTCTCCTAATGTCTATTTTAAACCTTCCCTGCCATGACCTGAGGCCATTTTCTCTCATCCTATTGGTTTTTACCTGGAAGAAGAGACTGACCCACCCCTCACTACAATCTCCTTTCAGGTAGTGGAGAGCAATGAGGTCTCTCCTCAGCCTCCACCTCTCCAGGTTAAAAACCCCCAGCTCCCTCAATCACTCTTCATAAGACTTGTGCTACAGACCCTTCACCAACTTCTTTGCCCTTCTCTGGACATGCCCCAGCATCTCAATGTCTTTCTTGTTATGAGGGGCTCAAAGCTGGACAGTCACTGCCCTGGTCCTTTTGACCTCACTATGACTGATACAAACCAGGATGTCATTTGCCTTCTTGGCCACCTGGGCACACACTGACTCATATTCAGCCACTATTGACCAAATTAGTGATATATTTGAGACTTCAAGTTTCAGTAGATCATAAACTAGAACACTGACTTTTGCTGCAAATTTTTACAGTATCTAACTCAACTTTATGTAATCCTTATAAACTCTGAGCAAAAAGCATAAGAAAGAAAAAGAAGGCTGAAGAAATTCGATGGTATAACGTGACAACAGTATCGCCTAAAAATTTGAACTTCTATTAATGGATTCTACAGGATTATAAGTACAGTAGATATGAAACTCTTCAGTCTATCTGGTGCTAAACTAGGGAGCACAGCACTTCTGTTCAAAGAAAAACCCCTTATTGGAAGCTGAGTGTTGTAACCTCTTGTACTTAAGTTCCTGAACTTGTCCTGTCTCAGGGCAGTGGACTAAAAAGTTTCCGGTTGGTTTAATGAACTACACTGTTGCTGTCTGTTGTCCATGCAGGTAATCCCAGCAACACGGGTCAAGGTTTTACACTGAATAACTCTGTGAATGTTTATTTGTGGTTGCAGACTTTAATGTTATGTTTCTCACTTAACAGTGCTTTGTTTTTCCTTTTAACCTTTTTTAAAAGAAACCTTTAAGTCTTCTGCTGGTACTGACTTTTCTTTTGTGAATTTCTGTTATAATTTTAAAACTTGTGTTGCTGCTGCTTGCCAGAAATAAATGATCCAGTGAGAAAATGCCTGATTTCAGTTTAGAGAACATGGAAAGTTTTTTTTGTTGTAGAGTCAAGGTGGCTAAGCAATTATTAATAGCTCTTCCATTCTGGAGATCTTGGAGGTGAAAAGGTAGAATGGCAAGCTTGTTTTCCAGTTAAAGTCTGTGTAATATCTGAAAGGTTTTACTGTGGAGGTTACCCACCTACTAGAGAGATTTTGTTTGCTATGGCCTGAATTGTCATGCCGGACAAGTTTGGCAAAGTTTTGGATCTTGTCTAGAATAGTGTCTTTTTACCTGCTCAGGGATCCATGGTGCACAAAGTAGTAATGTAGTTAAGAAAGTCAGGTTTTGAGCGGAACTGAGGGACAGCAGAAGTCCTGCTAAAACTTCACCTATCTTTTGTCTTCTCTGGCTTGGGAAAGACGGACAAATTGTTTGTGACTTCAATGTAGCAATGGAAGTATTCTCCTATCAAAGCTTTTGCAGACTTAGTAACAATCAGGCAAAGGGGAGGATGATAAGATCCTAGAAACACAGAAAGTATCTTGCTCAACACCTGTTTTGCTGAACAATTGTTTTGTTCAACACACGTGTTGTGTGCAAATGTGGACATGTCATTGTAATCTGTGCTCATTAAAGAATGCAGCTCCACTTCCTCCCCTTTCTTTTGAGCTGACCAAGGCCCCTGACCAGGAGAGCAAGTGCTGGGCTGTAAGTGTGGATTTGGAACTGTGGGGAGAAACTGAGAACAGCAGCCTCCACTGGGTGTATGTTGTGGTGCTAAAGCAGAGGAGTACTTCATGAGATGTTTGATGTTGGACGTAAACATCTGTAGTCAATTTTGGGTGGGTTTAGCATTGAATAACTGGTCTCCTTGAGGCTGCTAAGATCACTTCAGGAGATACTTAAGTGTTTTGCTGAATGAGAATGGGCTTGAAGTCTAGTGTCAAGACATTTGGGATGGATTTGACAACCACAAAACACAGGCAAAACTGATCCTGAAATGGTCTGATTTTGGTTTTGCACAAATGAGTAACTTTTGTATATTTGAGTGTCCCATTTAGCTTGCCAGTTTGAACAATAAAAGTAAATGTGTCATCTTAATAATGAATTTCTCTTGTACAAGGACTTTTATTTTGTCAGAAGGCTTACTGGCTTACTGTCATAGCTTCTCCTGCTTTCTCTGGCAGTTCTATGATGGGTTTATTCAGCACAGACTACTGAGCTCACAGTGACAGATATCTGCTCTGTGTTTTTTACTAAAATTCTTACAGTTTCTTTAAGAATCTGCACCCTAATACAATGTACGTAAAGAGAAATATTTCCTACACATCCCATTTATACAGTTATAAAAATATTTGCTGTGCGTCCCATTTATACAGTTATAAAAATGTGGTGATATTTTGTGAATGAAGAATTCTTTTTTCCCCTAACATAGACAGAATAATCTAAGTTGCAGATTAAATTAAAAATGAAAGTGTTACTTCATGCATTTTTCTTGCCATCTACCAGAACAAAGTCTACAGCTGTTTTTTACAGGAAGCTGCTATACCCTGGGCCATGATGTGGGACATCTGCAAAGCAGCTCGTTCTTGTCATTCTTCCTCAAATACCCAGTTTCTGAACTGTGGTAATTTTAACACTTCCAACGCAGAACAATGCTTTGTCCTTACATGGCTCAATAGCCAATTTTGAGCACCTGTGAAGCAGAAACACTTTGATTTATGGCTGAGAAAATGGAGATGAAATGGTGATTTGCTCAGGGTCACTGGTGGAGTGGCACTAGTGGGGAATGAGGTGGCAGGTCAGGCCTGGTGGCTGCCAGGAGAGCAGCTGTCTGCTGACACGGGATGGCTTTGTTGGAGGGCTGCTGTGTAGCTCAGGTGTACAGCCTGGTGTGGGTGGGTGAATTTGGAGAGAGGTAGGGGACAGAGTGCCAGGTCCAGTGTGTGTCCAGTGCCAGAGTGAAGAAGGTCATGTGGAGACAGGAGAGAATCTGGCACCTCCGGGTGAGGTGGTGCTGCTGTGCCCAGGGCAGTGATGTGATTGTGGTGTAGATACGTCATACCAGAACCAGCCCAGCTCTTCAGAGACAGCCCTTGGGGTTAGACTGGTTCTTCATGGCATGGTCCAAGGTTGGCGGGTGATGCCCAAACTGTCCTTGGTGCCCCCAGTTTGTTCAGGCTCTGCTCTGTGTTGGCTGGTGGGCTCCCTGTGGGAGCAAGACTGCCCCAGAGCAGGGCAATGACGACCTTTCTTGTGTCCCCAAACCAAGCCTGTTGTGGTTATTAACAAAACATTGCTTGTTAAGAAAGAGACACAACTTGCTTCTCATTTTGAGCTAGAAAATGAACTGGAAATTGGAGATGTCAAGCTCCATCAACAAAACCTCATTTCAGGGCAGAAATTATTCAATGAATAACTCTTTAAGGCCAGCTTTTGTTAGAAGACGTTCAAGAGCCATTATTACTTCTTGTCTAAGGATCATTATTTCTTGTCTAAGGAAAGGTAAATATACAAGAGCTCATATAATTCTAAGATTTACTAATTTTAAATGCTAAAGTCATTGCACACGAAATTTTGGACAATTAACAGTTTTTTAACCCTCAAAGTGATTAATTAGCTAAGAGTATCCCAGTTTTTGACAGAGAAAATGATATTTAAGAGAGGTGTTCATTTACATATCAAGGTCTTCACAAAGCCCTCAGGGATCACAACTTGCTCTTTATGCAATACAGTCAGGCTTCAAGTGCAAAAAATTTTGGTTTTATGTTCAGAAGTTTCTCAGATGTCAGTATTTAGGCATCAAAAATTCAACCACAACAATAAAAATAAAAAATCCAGAGCAATGACTTCCAAATGATAGGAAACCTTTGTTATATGTAAACCACTTGATTTCAGAGGAGAAGCTGTTGAGAAGTTCACTTGATCAGGTCCCAGCTCAAAGCTTTCTGAAAACTGACGTAAGGATTCCCAGTGATAACAGCAAGTTTTGAATCAGGCCCAAGGTGAATTGTAGAGGTTTGTTACTTTTATAGCACACATGAACACAACTTTCCAGATTTTTCATGTTCACATAACTGCAGTTTTGGTGCAAGAATTTGGTCTGATGTGGAGCGCATGGATCTACCGCTTCCCTGCAGTTCCCTGAAGGAGCTGCCCAGTGCTGCAGGCTGGTGTGTCCTGGGTGCCAGCACCCAACATGCAAGTAACATGATGAGAAGGGTCCTGGGAGATGCAGAGTCTCATCTTTAGGTGGCCAGAACCCTTGTGAGCAGTGCTGCAGCTGGTGCTGTGGAGGGCACTGCCCTTCTTTAGACCAACCCTTTGCACTAAAGCTACCCCTGTGAAGCAGCTACAGATACATAAGCTGGGTTTGCTTGAGTCCAGTAGAGAAAGAAATAAAGTTTCACTGTTTTCTGTGCAGTTTATTTTATTTTTTTTTAATAAGAAATAGAGTCTAGCTGCAGATGTGTCATTTGTGCATGAAATTACTAGCTTATTGAGGCACCTAAGTTATTTAATTTTGTCTAACTTTAGGCAGCAACTTGTACAGACCATGGTCTCATATGTCAGCAAACGGCAGTGAAATACCCCCATAGCTGTAATTTGAGATACTATGTATGAGAATGTCCTGTAGTATAGTGCTGAGACCCTGAGTACCTGCCTGTTGCATGCAAGGTTTTTAGAAAGATTTTTCAAAGGGGGAATTTGCATGAGCCCTTCTTTGTAGAAAGGGTTTTCATAGTATTTAGACTAGACTTCATGCTCTGAAGCCACTGATTTTAAATAAATGTTGCTTAGGGATATTTTGAAGCCTTTCTTACCAACTGCTGGGTTTTATTGGTGGATTACTTGAATAGTGGTGTGCTCCAAATGGTTTCTGGTTTTTAGAAAGGAGTTTCTACCTCTATTTTAAGTTTTTAGCCACTGCACAGGTTTTTTAAAAGTACAGAGTATATAAATATATACAGTATAGTATTATACTGTAACTTTATTTGAACAACTCCATAAAAATTTTTGACACCAAACTGTGGTTTTGATCTGAATGTAACTTATGTTTGCAGGTAACATACCTCCGGGTTTTGTTCTTGGTATCAGGATCATACAGGTTGTTAGAGGGTTGTACTTGAGTTATGCATATTTTACTTCTGCTGTTTGGCCTGATGGCTGTTAACAGCCACTGACACTAAAGAACCACTTTATAGTGAAACCTTTGATGTGCCCCCTCACCTGTACCTCCTCTGTTCTCTCTGCTCAGTAGATCAACTACCTGGCAATTGGGCTTTCTGTAATAGGAGAGCTGTGTCTTGACACGTGCAACTTAACATTGCACAGCATTGCTCTAAGAGCACTGAGAGAAATTTACTATTTCACCTGATCATCAAATCAATTTGCCTCTTCCAGGTTCACTATAAACTGGGTCTGCTATGATTGAGCTTCAGAGAAGCCCACGCTGATGACATTGCATAGATTATTGCATCCTAATCTTGCATGTCTTTTCTCAAATCTTTCTTTTAATTTATATTTCCTTTCTTGCTGCAGTTTTTTTTCTCTTATTTTGTATTGTAGGATCGGGATACTCACCCCTTGAAGATGACGAGGATGTGTATGCACGCAATAGATATAAAGGTGAATGTTTTGCTTATGTGCTAAAGAGGATCAGCTGGTTGCTGAGAGAAAGCTTCGTTCTTTTTCTTTTCCTGGATCAGAAAATCTTGGCGATCTAGCTCCATGTTTTTTCTCATGGATTTTTATATCCAGATTTAATTTCTACTGTTTTTAACAATGGAAATTAGACCAAGTGCTGATCACAACTCTCTTATGCACCCAAGTAAGTAAATTCTGCCCTACCTTTGCTCCGGGAAGATCGAGTTGTTAAATCATGAAAATCAGGAAGAGCTTCTCTTTCTTCTTCATACATCCCAACAAAACCATCAATGATAAGCTGACTCAAAACCTGAGCTTACTGATGGTGATGTATAGAAGTATGTGCAAGAGAACTTGATTTTCATTACTTTTTTTTTTCCATAAAATTGTTTGGCTTTCAGGTTAACCTGCTACCTGAAATACCAAGTGTGTTTAAAAAATGAATGTGTACATTCAAAAAATAAATTAGTAGCTGGATGAATGAATGGACTGTCATGTTTAGAAAGCAAATTCAGGTGTTCTTCCCTGTTCTGGAAGACTTTGCTATTCAGCAAAACTAAGACCTTTTTTTACCACTACCAGTAAATCTTCCACTTGCTATGTCCATTTTCTTAAAAAGTCTGCTTCTGTCTCAATACCTCTTTCTTCTGCCAAAATCCCTCAGGAGCCCAGACAGTAAAGAAACTTGGCATTTAATTTGTCACTTTAAATGGTAACTCCGATTTTTTTTGGTAAGTTGATCTGTGGACATGTTAGAGTTGTAATAATTTTTATTACTTGAAAATAGTGGTGATTAGTGTCTTGTTGTATGTTACTGATTCTCTGCAAAGAATCGATGGACCGTGTAAGAGGTAAGTCATAAAGTAATTCAGACATTTATGAACAACAAAGGGGAAAGCACAGCTGTTATGTCTACATTGCTGTTTTCATAAATGTCTCATGTTCCTTCCAGTAAAATACTTCAGTATAATATTTTGCTTTCTAACACATGCACAAATAGTTCTCTAAAGCTTTATTTAGGTAAACTCATTTTTCTTTGCCTTTTAACATGAGGTCCTCTGCAGACACATAGAAAAAGAATTCCAGAGACCATGAAGATAAATCAATGCCAGTTCATGCCAGGGCAGGCAAGTAGTTAAAACGTGATTTCTTTATAATTTCCTTTTATATGGTGATCCAAAATGAATTATACTCATGTCAGCCAAAATGTCACCAGGGTAAGTGAAACACAATGACTCATTCACACAGATATTAAAAACTGCCCCAAGTTTGGAAGCACTACTGCCAAATGTTGAGGACCAGACAATGTGAATCTAAGAGTGTAAAGCATTGGAGTAGAAAAGGCTCGGTCTTCATTAGCATACTTCTTTATGTTGGCTTTGAGGGAAAGGGGTGGAGAAAGACAAAGCAAGAAAAATGGGCTGTGTAGTAATGTTCAGAGCTTCTCCTCAGATGTCCAGTCCAGTATTTTGGGTGTGACCCATTGCTCAGCAAATAAAGCTTCCCAGTAACAAATAACTAAATGGATTTTCTTAACTGATGTTAACATACATAAGCAGCATTGGTTTTCTTCTTTGCACACATACTCACTAAACATTGCAAGCAAGCACGCAAATTCATCCTCTTTGACATCTGCAAACAAAACATTGCAGTTTACTGGGAGGGGTGAAAATCGACCTCCTACTAAACCCTTTTGTCTTCATCTGGATGTTTGTCCACTTTCTCAGCTTTCCAGAGAAACATAGCTAAGATTTTCTGTGCCCACAGCATTTTTAAAGAGTTTTCCCCTTCCTCCCTGGTGAACCTTCAGCTCTGTTGGCTGGTGTACCAGCAAGCAACAGCAGAGCTGGTTACTTTGCCTGCTGCTTGTGAAGGAAGTGCTCAGCTGAGGCTGGTGTTTAGGCAGGACCAAGGATTTGAGGGAAACGATGCCCCAAAAATGCTTTCCTTCCTACTACTTGGCATGGCTGGCTGTGATCACATTTCATGAGAAAGGGCTTCCTGCGTACAGCATTTCCTTTGTTTATCACAGCTGAAGTACCACTGCTCTGGTGATCCTCATTCTTAATGGGTTTTCTCAAATATTGTACTGATCAAACAGTAGCCCCAGCTGTAGAGGGAGTACGGGGACTTCAACCTTTTCTGCTTGCTGCCTGTTTTTCAGTGTTTTCAAACACAGCATCAACCCCCTGAAATGTTTTACTACCAAGTGATAATTCAGGCTATTGTGTCACTGAGGAAATTTCTAGTTCTTTCTAGTTTGTGCTAAGGTGCAAACTTTTTATTAAACAAAGAAACAGTACATAGGTCCTAAAAATTCAAATTTCAGTTAAGTGAACAGAGGCTGGTATAGATGGTGAAGTTTCAGAAGAGATGCCTGGGAAATCTGTAACTTTTCTAATACCCAAAGCCTTCAGGAACATCACTGAGCTTACCTTGAGGCAGAGAACAGCTTTGTGACCTCTCAGGGCTCCACAAAGACCTAATATTCTACAAGTACTTCGTGTAGCTGCTTGGCCTTTGAAAAACCAATATGTGCTTTCACTAAAAATCAACAAACTTTGATCTCAAACTTTGTTGTATCGTTTGATGTGCTTTTTAAGTTAGTTAGGGTTTTTTCCCAGCAGTATCGTTTGGTCTAAACCCAGATATTTGGCCCTCGTAAACCCTGCCTCACCCAATTCCTTTTAATCACAATCAGTTCTAGAGTATTATAATGTTTTAGATCAAACAGATGTTCCTCCTAAGTTCTGCAAGTTATTTGCATCCAAAAGCATGTCTGCTATTGTTTTTCTTTCTGACAGTATCATTTAGTCCAGTTTAAGATGTATTTTACCCCTCCCTAAGAGCCTTGCTTTGTTTCTCTCTGTAGACCACTGTAGCTGCAGTGGCACTACAGGAAAGGCATTTTCTTTTTCAGTATTGTGTTTGTGCATTAAACTGCATTTGTTAGCTGTTGGCCATTTTTTCTTTTCAAAATATATGTGCAGCTGTTTACTCAGGGCAAGTGTGTTTGTAAAACCACAAAAATTGACAGAAAAACTCAGGTAATTTGCAATACCTGAAAGAGCTGCTTTGCCTTTTTTATTATTATTATTAGCCTGTTGATCATGTTGCATAGCATATTTGTCTTAAGACCCTTTACAAAGGAAATCAGCATTTAGATGTGCGTTTAGAGTTTATACATGTGGAAAACCTGAGGCATAAATATCTTGAACTGATTTGCTGAAGGATTACCTAACCGGTTGGGGCAAAAGCTCAGCCCAAATGAGTTCTCCCAGTTCTGCCCCTTCAGTCATTGTTGTCTCAGTACCTTCAGATTTAAACCCTTCTGCAGAAAAACTGAGGTCTCCTCCTTAGTGAAGGAGATCCTACATGCTCGGGCTTGTAAATAAATGGAAGTTTAGGGTGTCTGAGCATTAGAAGAACAAGTGAGACAGAAAAGCTGGAAATTGTGGGCATGAGACCACTGAAGGGGAGATTATAGTAACACTGTTGTTAGCTCAGGAGTAGGAGGATTTCTCCTGGAGGTGAATTGTGTGGCTGAGCCAGAAAGCTGAACTGCACTCTAACCCTACACTGCTGGGTGCTGCTAGACTGGCCTGCTTGTGTCCTGAGCCTCAGTTACTGTGTATTTGGTGACACTGGGAATAATGTCACTCATACATCTTTGTGAAGGGCTTTCATGTGTATTGGTGAAAGACAAAAGTAAGCATGTCACCGTAAAATATGACTGCTTCAGAAACAGACTAGTCTAGAGGAATGTGCCCTTGGTGTAGCACAAAACTTGATAATTAGTATCTGTAGATGCTCTTTGTGTTTACTCAGGACCAACACAGCAAAATACAGATGTAAAATGTAGTTTCCATTGTGAAAGTGTAAATATGTCCTAGAGACATTGTGCTCTGAATATAAATATCCCACGTATGAGAAATAAAACAGGCTGTATTGATTTTTGTTTATTTATGTGTGGAGCTGATCCAAATAGTGTAGGAAAATGTACATAACAACTACAGGAATCAAGAGCTAGAAGTGAATATCTGCCAAAGATGATCTAGAAATTATTTTTAAATGTCTCTTGTGACTTTGTGAGTATGAAGGCTAAACACAGCTACTGCTGTGTTTTGTTTGTTTGGGGGCTTTTTTCCATCTTTCTTGCAAAATTCAGGATTTTTTTTTGTGTCCCTCCTGCATGTCACACATTGTCACACAGGATTTCAGGACCTGTCCTCTTTCTCTTTTTGCCTTGCAATCCCACCCTCCATCCCTCCCTCCTTCTCTCCCAGTATGTCCTTTTCAAACTATGGAACTGAGAAAGGGACAGGCTTAGTCACTCCTTGTGTAGGAAATTCCTATGAGAAGCTGCCCATTTTCTTGGTGCACCCTGTTGTCAAAGTTAGAAAAAAGGATGTGAAACTTTGGCTGGGAAGGGAAAATCTCTGTTTGATACTTCACCAATCAGCATCAGAGTATGATGTTAAGAAGATGGTACCCATATCCTGAATATTTTAAAGTGTAGCCCTGACCAGTTAATAAAGATGCAGTTTTATGTACATGTGTTTCCCTTTTCCTCATTAGTTTGGTAGGAACATTAGCTGTGAAGTCACAGCCAAATTCCAGCTTTCCTCTGACCTGGCAGACCCATCCATATCACTGTCCTGAATCCAGGAGCAACTAGAAAGTGGTACTCATACTTCAGACTACATTTCCATGATATTAGGTAAAGGTCATCACCCATCTTTGGAGGTCAAGAGCAGGACACATGATGTTCAGACCTTTGAGAACATTTAGAACTTAATTTAATTTTACACAGCTTGTGTTCCTGTTTCTGAATATGTGCTAAATAGATAGCATGCTTGTGAATGAAAATTGACGTCCTCTAAAGGATTTGACAGTAGTGCAGGGGTTTGTGCTGTAAAATATATGTTTTACATATATATGCTTTTGTACATATGTGTAGCCAAATGCATGTTGCCCTTGGAAGCTATAAATTACTACCAAAAAGAGAGGGATAAAGTCAGATTTTTCTGGAAAGCTCTTCACTTGTCTGTTGGATTGGACACTTGCCTCCAGAGTTAGAAGGCTATTTTATTTGTAAAGAGTATTTAAATGTTTCATTGTGGCACCACAGAACTACTGAGAACAGCAGGGGAGCAGCTGCTCTTGCACACTTCACACGTTTTAGTTCAGGTTTAATCCTGAGTGCTAACTTTGCAAAATTGGAGCTGTTCTTAAACACTGAACGGTTGTTCTGGCACATGGAGGATGTGTACACATGAGCTTGTCATTGGCAATATGATTCATGTAAGTGACATCCGTTCTAACTGTGGGAGACCTTGAACCATCACAGAGTTCTGCCAAGGCACTGTCCTTGCTGCACAAATTGTTATGGAAGATCTTTTTTTGTATGAGCACTAAGAGAGCTAAGTGTAGAAAGGTGGCAACTACAGCTAGACCAAAGGTGTCCCTAATGCAACCTTTTCTTGTTAAAGAGCAGTTAGACGCTTCTACTTCAAAACAGGAGGCAAAAACATTCCAGCTGTCATCAAACTGCCCACATGGTGGCACACTTATTCCATGTACAAAAAGCATGGTAAAACCCCACTTATCCTCTCAACCCCTTCCAATCTAATGGCTACAATCTTTAATGTTTTTCATTAAAAAAGAGCTGTCAGTCTTTGGAGGGCTGACATTTGGATGTGTAAAACTTATTGCACCTTCCTGCAACGTTCACCACTTTGAGGATTTGTGGCTTTTAAATTAAGATATTTCTTCCCATTTCTTTTCTGTGACCATGAATAAACAAAGCGATTTTATGTTTGTTTCTGAATGTTTACATTTTTCTAATTGTTATGTGTGGATTTTTCACTTCTCTGTGCCAGAAACACCATGGTGCTCGCCCATTAAAGTGAAACACGGTTATGCAAACTGCAGGACACCTCAAGGGGAATATTACAAGAATGTATTGGGCACAAGATGTGATATTCGCTGTCAAAAAGGCTACGAACTGCATGGCCCTCACCAGCTAATTTGTCAGTCAAGCAAACGCTGGTCTGGGAAAGTGCTGTGCAAACGTAAGTGGCTACGAAATCTGTGTGTGTGACTTGTGCTGCAGGTTCAGCAGACAGTAAATTTTCATTTGTCTTTGAAACTGATCTTTGGATTGTTATTGATTTTCAAAGGTTGATAATGTAATTGGATACGTATATTAGTTTGTGGCTGAGGATCTTACAGAGGTGCATGGCATGATAAGTATCTGAGTGGTACAAATGCCCATGGCAGATAGGGAATGTTTCATGAGTGTGGGATTTTGATTTGTGGAAGTAGTTTCATGGCAGAGTCATAAAGCTGCTTTAAAACATTACCCATCTTGGACTTCCTAAGTTGACACAAGTTGTACCAGTGTCTAAATGGGGTCTTGCATTAAAACATTTTCTAAGAGAGGAATAGGTACTTGTCATCCCTTTTCTCATATAAATGTTGTATTAGGCCGCTAATGCTTATGTAGAGCTAAATTTCAAATGCTTCTAATAAGAACAGTTTGGAAAAACCTCCAGCGGACAAGAATTTCTCCTGCTTGTCATTTGCCAGCTGCATCTTTATTTCTGTGTAATACCCCACATTCCCGTTACTCTAAAGGGGGGAAATAACAGGTTTCCAGAAGTCTTTGTTTCCTTTTCCAGAAAAGCGCTGCCCCACCCTGGCCATGCCGACCAATGGGGGTTTCAAGTGTTTGGATGGTGCCTACTTTGGCTCGAGGTGTGAGTATTACTGCTCTCCAGGATACCAGCTGAAAGGAGACCGGATAGTGACGTGCATGGACAACAAAGCGTGGAGTGGCCGGCCAGCATCCTGCGTTGGTAAGTAGGATACAGGGTCTTCATCCTGGGAAGTCCACATCCTGAGGTACCTGCTAGTGCCCAACTCCTGCAAGTAAATTCCAAAATGCTTTTTTATCCAGCTAATGGGGAGAAAAAAGCAACTGTCCCTCTTAAGGAAGCAGAGAACAGTTTCCAAACAGACGCAAAGTTCTGTCACTCAGTACTTTGTCCAAAGTGAGTATCCTTCTTACACACAAGCTCCAAGTATTACCATTTTAATAAAGATGAGGCTGGTGTAAATAGTCAGCACTTTTCAATGCTTTGCTGATCTCCTGGGTGACTCCCTGGTAGCCTGTAATTACTTTGCTGCTTTTCTGGAATGTTCTCTGTGCTGGAGTTCTGTCACACTTTCTGCAGCTTAATGATAAAACAGGTTTGAAACTAAATCCATTGTCTGACCTGTTGTTTTTCTTCCTTGGGATCATGGTCTCCAAGTATATCCAAGGAATATAAATTGATTGTAGTTACCAGCATGGTTGCAGCTAATTTAAATTTCAACCTAGTTCACGTTACTTATGCCAGCAATTTTCATTATGTAGTCAGTGGTCTCCTGGGAACCTCAGCTGGAATAAGTGTTTCTATATACATAAACCAAAAGAGAGATAAACAAATATTGAAATTTAACTTTCCTGACTACTAATGAAATTTCAGCAGATAGTGGAATCTCAGCTGCTGGCTGCCCTTTTTCTGGGAAGCCTCTGATAAAAGCTTCAGCAACCACCCACAAAGGGAAGTATTTTTTGGCAATCTGAATTGGCTACCAGTAATTTCAGCTTGTAGGTGGTAGAGTGTTTGTGCTCAGTGTTTTCTATGTAAGATAACTTGGTTTTCCTCAGAATGCCTGTGGCTCAGTTTAGGTTAGCAAATGGTTTTGGAGTCTCTCCACTGTGGCCTGATGTTCATAAAATTTTTTTTTCAGGTTTCCTGTTATATGGTGTTGTACAAATGTAGAAATGAGATGATTAGGTCTAGACTGTTTGTGGCATCTCTTGTTTTCGTTTACAAAACAAGCTTTGTCCTTCCCAGTAGTGTGGGCAGAGGAAGCAAAACAAACCCTTTTAAGTTTGGTGATGGTAAAATATTATCTTCTGTATTTCCTGGCAATTTCAGAACCTCATCTGTTTGCAGCAATGAGGTGTTTGTCACAAAAGGATGCTGTCTTGCAAAGTAAAGTAAGCAAGTATGTTTTAAGCAAAAGAAAAAGAGGCTAAGTCAACACTAACACTTCTTTTTTATTCCAAAAGGGTACCTATTGAAAAGGGTGTGATTGCAAGTCCCAAGTAACCCAGTAAAAGCAATGGTATGATATAAGTTCTGGTAGTGCCACATAGGGTGGAGAAAGCCCCTTCAAACCACACAGTTCCTATATGCACATAGTGAGGTATGCAGTTAGCAGATTTTTTAATAAGGTTATCTTTTGACCTCCTGATAGGTAGTATATAAAATTTCATGTGACTAAACATAATTCCACAATTTTTGGCATTGAATATGTAAAAAATTACTTCAGACCTGCACTTGAAATGCTCTGGGAAACAAGGGGCTTTCCTCTAACTTTTTTACTGTTCTGCTTAGCATTTTTGCACAAAATTATGTGGGCTTCACAGTGGAATAGTGAAGATCCATGTAGGATCTTCAATACTTTCATTGATAAAATAGGTATTCATTAAAAGGGCGAAAAAAATATATTTTTTGAATTACTGAAAATTAGGTAAGTTTTAGCAGTCACAGAAGTCCTTACAGATAGTGAGTACTCAGGCCTAAGAAAACAGAGCGACTGTCTACTGTCCTTCCTTCATGTTGCTGAAATAACTTTGATTAAAAAAGATCAATGTACAGCTGCTTTTGGTTATCTGTTAGATGAAAATGCCAACTTGAATAATACTTCCACTATAACCCTAGTGCACTGTAACATATATTGAAATACATATTTTCTTCTAGAAAATTGAAAAATGTCAATGTCTTTTCTTCTGGAAGGGTTTCCTTTTCCTGCTCATTCTATAACAGAGGTTGTGGTAAATGTTTGTCACCACGCTAAGTCATCCTCTTCTCATATCCTAAGGCTCTATTGATAGGTAGTTACTAACACCTTCCATCTGAAATAAGATTTGCACTCTGAGTCAGTAATCACACAGGACTTGATAATGGATGTTTTGAAATACAAATCAATCCCTTGTGTGGGCGGGTGGGGAGAGCAGGACAATGTTTTTCATTCTCATTTTTATGATTTCATCTCTTTATGCTTTTGATATAGACTAATGTTTTGAGCTAACTTCCAGCCATTTTTTTATGTCATCAGTAATAACATCATGTTCATGGAACAACAGACAGTTTACCCATCCCATACAGGCCACTGAGTAAGTAAGCAGTGGGCATTCAGAACCATCTCTCTGTTTCTTTCCTCTTGTCATCCCAGATTCACAAGCAAAGAAATGTAAACCTTTAGCAAACTGTGAGAAAGAATGTTAACAAGCTCTTTAAATTTTGTTGAATTTGTTAATATGGCCAATTCCTGGAGTATGTTTAAAAAAAAAAAGACAACCAAACCAAACAAAAAAACCCTCAAACCAACCAAACAGAAAAACCCACAACCAAAACCTAAAACCTGTTTGAAAACTTTGCCTTTTTCTCCACAAAGTTCAAAAGGCTAATTTAAAATGGAGTGTTCCACTGCTGAACTCCTGATGCCATGTCTGCAATGCCACTTCCCCACATGGAGCCAGAGTACCGGTTGCTGCTGCCAAATAGCCAAGAAAAATGACAGCTTGAAAGAATGTGGCTGAAAAGTACCATGCTTTCAATGAAAACTCAATCTCCACGACCATGATTTAAACCTTGCAGGCGAGAGTCTGACATTTAATACATAGCCCTGCTAAACAGCTTAAATAAATCTGCTTGGCTTTTCATTGGTTTTTCAGCACTGACATTGCAGTAAAAGCTAAGACTTGCTCTACCAAGTCAGAGACCTTTGCAGTGTGTCCTGGTTCCAAGTCTGCCCAGGAATACTTATTAAATGAGGGTCTGACGCTCCAGCACTTACAGGACAATTCTTCCCTCTGATAAAACCTCTCCAACAGTCAGCAACCTTGGGGGTTCCTCTGTTGGGGTTTGTTTTGGAACCAGTTTAGTTTTCTGACCTGCAGGTGGGCACCTTGCTCACATCATACATTTTACTGAAGGTTTTCTTGGCGTAGTTGTGTTTCAGTTTTGTCATTTGTGCATTGCCTGGATGGTCTCTGATCACCTTCTCTGCATTTAAACAGGCTGGGGGTTTTTTAGACCTGTCTTCCTTTGGCCAGGCTGTGCCCAAAGTGCTTAAGGTGCTGTAAATTGGCCACAACTTTGTACAAGGGAATGAGAAAAAAGAGCAGTGAGCATTGTTTGGTGTTTAACACATCCCAGTAGAGACTGCAGTTAGAAAACCTCTTTGGTGGACAGCTGTTTTCTCTTGACCTGTTTCAAAGCAGAGTTATTCTGTCTGGGTTTATTTAGTGCCTGTTGAATGCTAACAGGCAGATGAAATGACCAAAGCAAATATCCTCCCCAGAAATGTTTAAGTCCAGCTAAAAAGGCTGCCTGGCCCCTGGGTTCTTGGTGAGTTGGTTCCCCCAGTAACTGCATTGTTTGCCTTTATGGTATGGAAGTCCAAGCTAGTTCATACCAACCAGTCTTCTCTGCACTTAAGCTTAACGAGCTTTCTGATTAATTAAGAGTTTAAAGCACTGGGTTCTTAAATGCTGCTCTAGCTTTTATTCCAGCATCACATTTATTTGATTTATACTGTCCACAGTGGTGAGTGGTCACTGCAGTGAACTAATCAGAACCAGAAGCAGCCTTGGTGAGGCTGGGTTATTTCTTGCCCTAATTCAGGAATGTAGCTTTGTAGAGGAGGGCAGAGCTCTCACAGGCTGCAGTGTCAGCAGGTTTTCACACATAACTGGAGGGTGCTTTAAAAGTAAGGGAGTGAATAAGAAACATGAGGAATGGAGACAAAGTGTCAGGACTGGCTGAAGACAAGCAGCTGTGCATCACCGTTATCCTCCATCAGGGTCTTCCGTCATTACCACTGTTCCTTTGCTTCTGAATAGTAGTCACAGTGTTAAACAGACAAACAGTCTTTCAAAATGTACCTACATTTTCTTTTGTATTACCTGTAAGGCATAATTATAAGAGTTATTAGGAAAAAATCAAATGCAGCATTAATTTTCTGCAAAATTGCAATTGTGCCAGTCTTTTGTTGTTTCTTATTTTGCCATTACCACAGTAAGATTAACCAGTATGTTGAGCGTAACATGAAAAGTTATCATGCAGAGAGAAATGGACGTTAAGTGTACTTTAAAAATGCTCTTAATCACAATATCTACCTCGCAGACAAACAAAGAGAAGAATGCAGATAAACAGAACAGAAGCTTCTTGGATACAATCTTTGACATCCCTCCTTGAAGTCCAAAGGCATCCCTTTGTTGACATTATCTTTTAACTGATGTAAAGAAACTATATACTAGACGGTACTATACATACTGCATACTATGGCTATGCAAAGAAATTTGCAATAACTTGTTTTAATGTTTTTTTTGCATTGCAAAGGACTGATCATTGTCAGCTCTTACTCTTCCTACAAAAAGGTCCCATGCCTTGACTGGGACATCCCCAGTGTTGAGGAGGCCAGGTGAAGTCTAGGCCAGGTCCTGGGTTATGCTGGGAAAGAGCTGTGAAGAAAATGCATAGGTCCAACAGGTGCACCAGTGCCCATTTCTGTGACATTTATTTCAACAGATACTGAACCTCCAAGAATCCAGTGCCCAAGCGTGAAGGAGAAAACTGCGGAGCCCAACAAGTTGACAGCCAGAGTGTTCTGGGACACCCCAGAGGGACGGGACACTGCTGATGGGATTCTGACAGAGTAGGTGCAAATCTGTAGATGTTTGCATTTTCTCCTTCTTATTCCTTGATTAGAAATTCAGCTGATGACGGTGGCTGGGTACTCTTTCCCTGTAATTCATCCAAGATGCTTATTTTGACAACTTGGAGGTGAATTGTTCAGGAAGTAAATAGCAGATTGTTGTGGTTATTTTAGAGCTGATGTAATAAACAACAGCATTTTGACCTGTGAAATTTTCTGGAGCTCCTTTGTAGATCTCATAGTCAACAAGTTTTCTTACAGCAAGTTACCTTTTGTACACAATGGAGAGAGAGTAGTGCACTGGAGGTAGCAGTAGAAGCAAGTTTGACTGCCTTAAAAAAAAACAAGGTAAATTGTGGCACAAAAAAATCATCTTTAGCCTTCTTCCTGAACTAGTGCTGGCTACTGATGTCCCAGGGTTCTGCAGTTACCTTTAAAATAACATTCCTTGTTTGAAACTTTAGTAACTTTAAACTTAACAAAATTTCTTTACCATTTTTATGGTTTCACAGTCACATTTCCCAGAAGAGCAAGGTGTACTCATTAAGGCACTACTGCCTCTGATTTTCCCATTTTTATTATGCAGGATTTGTGTCAATCTGTTGAGATTATTGTAATGGTAGGAGTATAGAAAATCTGCTTCTTTCAATAAGCAAGTTACAGCTTTCAGTGGTGTAATAGTGGGCTGATTAAGCTTAAAAGCTTAAAGTTGTAAGCGTAAAGATATTCACACTTCATAAGAATAGAAAAAAGGTGTTGAAAGACACAATGGTATTGCCTTTTTATTGCTATAAATTAATAATATTAGAAAGAAAAATTCATTGTACAGTTAAAAACAATATTGCTGTAAAGGTCTGATCTAATAATTCTATGACAATTAACAGCATTAAAAAATTACACCTGATAAAACAAAAATTTTGGAAATGACAGAATAAAGAAATTCCGAAGTCTTTTTGCCTGATAGGAAAAAACAATGAGAAGTGTCCCATGTAGCCTTTGTCATACAAGTAACTTGTCAACTCAAAAGAGGCAAACTCTTGATTCTGTGGAAGCTTTTCCTTAAACCATATCTCTATTTTTATAAAGTCTTGCTAAACTGTGATGTTTACTAGAGTGTGCAGTGCTTTCCTTAAATGCCCAAGGTCCTGCAGCTCCACGAGTACATAAGCTTTTCAATTACATGGAACACTACTCGACCTCAGTGCCTCAATACTGAGGATATGTTTAATGTATCTGAATTCTCCTGTCTCATTTGCAGGATAGGGGCAAATTCCAGGTAAAAACGCTGCTGTGGATCACCACACCCTTCTGACTATCCCCAGTAATCGCACCATGTGCCTAAGAGTATTGTCTGTAGAAAGATACTGCTGAACTTATGAATGTCTGTCCTGTATTATCTCCTGTTTTAGTGTTATTTTGAAAGGCCTGCCACCAGGGTCACATTTTCCAGAAGGCGACCACAAAATCCAGTATACAGTGTATGACAGAGCTGAAAACAAAGGCACTTGCAAATTTCTTGTTAAAGTCAGAGGTAAGAATGTTGTTTTACCATTTAAATACAGTCACTGATTTGCATCTGGTTTAACAGGCAATTTGAAAATGTCCTTATTTCCGTATTTATCTGCATATGTATGCAGATATAAACTCTGTGTTGATACTGAAAGGGAGAATACAGTCTTGCTCAAGACCCTGGGGGCCAGTCTGCAGCAGGGTGCAGCAATCCTGCACACGAAGGAAGAGCTTCATTAATCACTCCTGCCTCCTGCTCCATACCCCTTCCTTCCTGCAACCTTCTTGCTGATACTCAGCTTGTGAGCTGCTGAAAGAAAGATGTAAAGGAGTTTTTTCAACTGTTAGTCACATCTGTCAAGCAGGGCTGCCCTTTCACAAGTCCAGATCTTCAAATCTGGATTTGAATCTACAGAAATGAGCCCTGTAGGTTTTGGCTTCAACTCTTTATGCTCCGTGACCTTTTGTCACTGCGATACCACAATCACGTGCATACACCTGTACATCTGTTTCACTTCAGTTTACATAAAAGATCAGGGTGGGGATTTGTTTTGGTTGGCTGGGGTTTCTAAGTACATACATAATACAGAAAGCAAACAGAAAAATGTCCTCAGTACTGGTATTTCACTGGCCTGTGGTGCCCTCCTAGCAAATGGTGATTCATGCCTTGTCTTTTTGTTTTTGTTGGTTTTCTCTTGCTTGAAGTCAGGCGCTGTGTGAAGTTAAATGCCCCAGATAATGGCTACATCAAGTGTTCAGGGGATGGAAATAACTATGGTGCTACATGTGAGTTCTCCTGCATTGGTGGCTACGAGCTGCAAGGAAGCCCAGCTAGAGTGTGCCAGTACAATTTGGGGTGGTCAGGAGTGGAGCCAACCTGTGCACGTAAGTGAGTATTTCACCACTTTACCAGGAGGACTGACAGAGCAATGGTTCTCAGGGCAGTGAGAATTTGGGAAGTGGGTGTGGGGTGGAATACAGCTGCAGCATCCCAGAGGTAGGAAACTTAAAATCTTTGTCTCCTCTGCCAATTTACACTCAGAGCTGAAGGCTTTGCCACTTTCGGCTGCTCTTTCCTATGGTGATGATGGTACCTCACAACTGATAGTTTGATTTAGCTCAAAGCTCTCTACAAAATGTCACATTCTGAAGCCAATCCATCAGCCAGAACAATTTACAATAAAATCGTTGGCTTTGATGAGGCCAGTATTTCACCCATATCTTCTCTATTATTGTTCCTTGCTCTTGTGTTTCTGCTGTCTAATCGTGCTTGTAGAAATAGATCTCTTTCCAGCATGCTCTATAACTTTTGTTTTCATTTTAATTCTAGCCATGAATATTAATGTGAATGTGAGGACTGCAGCTGCGCTTCTGGATCAATTTTATGAGAAGCGGAGACTGCTAATTATTTCAACTCCCACTGCAGCCAACTTCTTCTACAGGATGCAGCTGGGAATGCTGCAGGTAAAACACACTTAAGGGGGGGTGGGCAACTATTTTTTTTTTCTTTAAGGAAAGACACAAGAGGACAAGCTCCACTGTCGGATATAAATCCACAAACTTCAGCTGTTATATTCCAGCCTGTGGAGGATCTGGCTGAAACAGTTGTGGTTTGGGATTAATCCTTTTCACAGGAGTTTGAGTTGAAATATCTCCCCAGTCTCTAACTCACCTTCAATCTGGATTGTGCTGCTTCTGATTAACCAGTCACTGAATCCCAGGCAATTCTGCCCCTCCCATCATCCACAAATTAATTTAATATTAATTTGCACTCAATAATAATTCCCTCACTCAGCTGCTAAAGAAGTTGAAAAAAACCCCAGCCCTCCAGCACTTCAGTGGATGCAGTTCATGTAAGTCAGGCTTATGGAATTTGTAACTACAATGTGAGGAAATGTGAGTAGCTTCAGAAATAACAAGTGCACCAGCAAACAAAGGACTAGAGACTCAGCACAGAAATCATCTAGTGCTGGAGATAACACTGGAGTATTTTGTTAAAAAAAATTAAAACTTATTGTAATTGTCTTTTTTAGGTGTTGTAATTGCGATGATCTTGCTAGCTTCTTGCTAAGCTTAGAGATATGTCTCCGAAATGTATCTGTGTTCTCAGGGAAAGAAAGGAAAGGAACCAGTCCTGTATTGTTTCACAGCATCAAGTGCTTTTATCTTGTTTTTCTTCTTCTCACAACTGTAGGAAAATTCAGTATAAATAGTCATTGGGATATGAACAGGATTATGTTTTTAACTTCTGACTTAAGTTAAAGTTGTATATAAGAAAAAAAATGTTTTTTTCCCCATTAGATAAACTTGCAAGAAAATTCGGTATATTTATCAAACTGAAATAGTTTAAGGTACTAAATTTAATGACTATTGTACATTTTCCAGTGCTTGACAGTGGGCAAATAAGTTGGTATGAAAGAATATTTTCTGCAGTCAACTTCTATTTCACATACCTTGCTTTGATTGACAAATTACAAGATTACAGGGCTTAATACCCTGACATCTTTTCACTACAAAGAGAAGTTTATATATTTCTAGGTGGCCCCGTGTGTTGTTTTTGTTGGAGTAGCTAAGAATCTGTCATTCACATTGCCTGCAGTCTTGAGGCTCTAGTTCTTTGCCATGAAAATTAGAGGGTTTTCAAATTATGCTCTCGATTCAGTTTAAAACATCTCACTAACATAAGAAGATGGGACTCTGTGAACACTTGCTGCACACTCCACACATCTCCCTGTTCTCTCCCTGGTAACTAACATACCTGTTTCTTCTTTTAACCCTTCCAGCCAGCACAGTGTGGGTTAGACCTCCGACACGTTACTGTGGTTGAACTGGTTGGTGTGTTCCCAGCTCAGATAGGAAGAATAGGTGTAAAGCTGCTGCCTCCATCTCTTGCCCTGCAACTCAGGTAAAGGAACCTCTCACTACTGTATGTTGTGTTTGCACCTTATCATACAAAATGCATTGCTTTTGATTCCCTGCATCTTACTCTCTAAATATCCATATTCTATTCTAATGTACATAACTAGACACTATAAGGTAGATGTTGATGAAAATGCTTTAGGATTAGTTTGCTCTCTGCTCTCTGTGTGATGGCTACTGCAAATTCACAGGCAAACAAAAATATAATAACAAATTTAGTATTTATTTAATTTAATTTATTATGATTTTAATATCCCCGTATTCATGTGATAGGTCTATATTTTTGGGTGCTGCCACCGAAAACACTGCAGGCATATCTGTATTTGTACTGGAGTTGGTCTGATGCAAACAGGACAGGCCACAGCCCCTTTGCCATGGAGCAGCTACCAGGGCAGCCCCAAATGGTAGCAACAGCCCATCCTCTCTGTACCAGCAGTAATCCTACGGACACTGGTGGTTGTGGCCAGGCCCGAAGGGGAAGCAGTGGTGGCTCTTCGAAGGCCCACATGTAGGAATGATGTGGGCAGTATTTCAAAGAGGAGATTATCTCAGCCTCCTCACCCCAGCTGCAGCATCAGCAGTTTTACTGAGGTGCCTGAACTGGTTTGACTTGGGTTTAGACTGGCAGAGGTTTGGTTTTCAAGTGAAAGGGAGACTTCAAGTGTCAGCATTTCCACGGGACAGGAAGACAATAAAAGCCAAAAGTGAAACAGTGGCAGGGAAAGTAGTAGTTATTTAGAAAAAAAAGTCCAGGACCATTTTAGGCAACATATTCTGTGATATATGCCTGATGAAAGAGAGTTAGTTTTAGTTGGAGACAGTGCAAATTGCTGACACATCAGAGAAGGGTTTGTTTTCTATTTTAAAAAAATATTCTCTATAAAAAGAAAAAAGAGAGCACAAAGAATCTCTCTTTACTTTTTTGAACAAAAGTACTGTTACTGGACTTGAGATGGTTTTCTTGTGGCTCTGTAGAAAATAATAAGCTCTCTTAACACCTCATCCCTACTCCCCTGCAGCCTTTAATGGAGCTACATTTCAGAAATCGGTATGGTAGGACCTGCCCTGCACTCAGTGAAAGGTAGTTTTCCATTGATTTTTTTTTTTCTCAGCTGTTGCTTAGTGTGTGAATTACAGCTTTCCAGTTCTAGAAGGCACTTAAATCAATATGAAATGCACATCTTGAATAATAACATTGACCAGAACTGGGATTTCAGTAAGCTAATGAGCACAGGTACCCTAGTTAAACCTTTGGAAAGCTCAGAAGTTTAGCATTTGGATTTTTAGAAGGTAAGCATTTTCCTCAGGTGATATGAGGCACAAGATGAATGTAGTTTTCTATCACTGTTGCTTAGCTTTAATCTTTAGCTTGAATTTAATAGCCAAGCTCCCTAATTGCAACAAGACCATGCCTAGAGAGCTCAAACTTGTTAGAAGGCTGAGGGAGATTAATTTTGAGACTTCACACCTTTCCAACACCCCTCGTCCCAGACTCTCTTCTTCATGGCAGCTTTTCTGTCCTCATACCATTTTCTCTCATGGCTGCCTCAATTTATTTGCCCCACACTAATGATGGTGACTGACAGTGTGTCTGAGGATCATCCCGTTCATTATCCCTTCAAATCAAAGATGAAAAGAGCAGTGCAGATAAGATTTTGTTACTCCTGCACCTTCAGAGGAGCTTAAATGACCCCTTTTACCACTGTGGAAGAAAAGGACTCCTCCTTGATTAGGAAGTGGCTTTTGTTCTCCTAAATTGGAGTCACCACCAAGTAGATGTCTGATTTGGTAAAAATGAAAGCAGACTCCAAAAATTTTGTCCTGTGTTTTTTAATTGTGATTTTATACCATGTGGAATCCAAGAAAGGGAATAATCTATTTATAGCTCTAGCTTCATCACAATGTTTTTCCTTAGACAATGTATATACTACTTTTTTGCCTTACCTTTTTTCACTCTTGTGATAGCAATAGGTAATGGCATGTGCTCTACTTAGTCAGAGGTCTGAGAAGAAAACAGAGCTGGGTGCAGTACCTTGACCCATCCCTAAAGCAGAGGTACAGCCTGCAGCACATGCAGGCACCTTCTCTTTATCTGACTCCTTGTTCATGATGCTGAAACAGAGCAGCCTCTGTGCAGCCCCCTCTGACCATCCCCACCTTCCTCTGCTCAGAATCAAGAGGCTGGTTCTGCCCTTTGTTACTTGGAAGTGCCCAGGCAGTAGGTGACAGGCTTTAACAAAAGTTCCTTACTTTTCAGGCTGCTGCTGAGGATCCCCCATTACAATTTCAACATCGTGGTGATGGACAAGCACGGAATGGACAAGGAACGTTATCCTTTCCCAGCAACACCAGCTGAGCTCTTTGCCCTTATTGACAAATTTCCCTTGAGAAAAGATGAGATGAAACTGCAAGCAGAAATTGGTCAATCATGTCCCTAATTCAGGATTTCAGGGCTTGCAGTTGTCAGTGAATTTTTTTTAATTCACATAATTCTCTCCTTGGTGCTACACAAAGCATGGCTTTTTTAATCACTGATGTGATTTTTTGTGTGTATCAGTAAGTCTGTCCAGCCGTGTAGCTGCTCTGCATAGAAGTATGCACGATGCTTTTTTGTACTTTCAGTCATCTTTAAATCGTAGAATCACAGAATGGCCTGGGTTGGAAGGGACCATAAATATCATCTAGTTCCAACCCCCCTGCCATGACCAGGGACACCTTCCACTAGACCAAGTTGTTCAGAACTCCATCCAACCTGGCCTTGAACACCTTCAGGGGTGAGGCATCCACAACTTCTCTGGACAGCATGTTCCAGTGCCTGACCACCCTCACAGCAAAGAATTTTTCCCTAATGTCTAATTTGAACCCGTTCTCTTTCAGTCTGAAGGCATTCCCCCTTGTCCTGTCACTACATACTCCAGTAAAAAGTCCTTTCCTCAGGTACTGGAAGGCCACAATTAGGTTACCCTGAAGCCTTCTGTTTTCCAGGCTGAACAATCCTAATCCTCTCAGCCTTTCCTCATAGGAGAGCTGTTCCATCCCTCTAATCATCTTGGTAGTCCCCTCTGGACTTGCTCCCACAGGTTGATGTCCTTCTTGTGCTGGGGACCCCAGAGCTGGATGAATAAGTTTGCTATCTAGTGGAATTTCTTGTACAGAGCGCGAAGAACTGAGGCACATTTCTGGGAGTTTATTTGGGATTTTTCATTCAGTGTAAAATTGGGGTTTCTTTCTTACTGTTTATAATTCTTTTTATTAATAAAATATTGTTTTGCAAACAGATAGTTGTCTAAAATTCCTCTTGGAGATTAAAGTTGGTTGATTGATTCAGAAGTTGGAACAAAATACCTCTCTGCAGACCATTAAAACAGACATTAATCTCACACTGAAAGTGTACAAGCAACCCAGTGGTATCTTTCAGCTCCACTAAAAACATGGCCAATTGCAGACACAAAGCATGAGCCAAAGGCAACACGAGCATCTGTTTTCAGCAGTAGCAAGGAGAAAGTAGATAATAGCAGCAATGTGGAAATCATTGCCACAGGGAACATGATAAAGGAACAACGAGCAGTGTAGAGGATGGGCTTTAATTACTGAAGGCCACGTACTGCAATGCCTGATAGAAACATATGGTCCTACCTGGTATGTTTCTGCTTCTGGCTTTTAATGTCCAACCATCTTGGAGTAGCAGATTTCTTTCCTCTCTTCACCTTGGAGACAGACCAGACTGTTTATTTGATGGCAAGGAAACATTACCTCCAGGGGAACTTCATCAAGGATTTGTCACTTCCAGAGCTGTGAAAATACTTGTTTGCAAATAGTCACTTATAAAGTAACAAAAAATAGTTCCATGTTGAATAAGAAGTATTAGGAGGTAATCAAAAAAGGAAAAATTTTTCTGTTGTTTTACTATAGCCCACAGTCTTGCCAATCTGCTGCAAAGAATATACATCATGCATGAAAATACAAACAAAGGAGTGAAGATTGGGAATTACAGCTTTGGATGCCTGTTTACAGGATATGGTGCATAATTTGATATTTCTGAAAAGCAACACTCCAGTGTCTGTGCTGTTCGTTCTTGCCCATCAAGGGCACGGTCCTGTTTTTTTCAGCCAAATGCTTGTTTGACTTTGACCATAAGGTAGATTTTTTAAAATTTACACTCTGGTGTCAGCAGAAGAACAGTTTTACCATCATCTTTAAAGCAATCCTTACCAGAATTCAGTCTCTCATGCTTTCTGAAATTACAAAAAAAACCCCAACAAACAAACAAACAAACAAATCAAAAAACCAAAAAACCCAAACAAACAAAAAAAACCCACAAAACAAACCAAGAAACCAAAAATACAAAAAAACCCCAACAAACCAAAAACAAACTACACAAACTTTTTTAAAGAGATAGTCCCTCATTAATTCACTATCAGGAGCAGACTGTGAAGAGAGGGAAGTCAGCCACACTAGCTAGCAAAAGCTAACTTGTGGACTGAGGCATGACAGCACTAAGGAGAGTGGTGGCATGCCATGTCTCCTGAACAGGATGGTCTGTTTTCCAGTGTTAGAAAATTGTTGCTAAACACTGAAGAGTATGACCTGTCGAGGGCTGCCAGCGATGCTGATGTCAAAGGCCGGGAAGATCAGGATACGCCCTGAACTTTGCAGATGGTGGTGCCAGGTTTGCAAGGATGAGCAACTGGGGGTCAAGGCAGCCCTGGTTGAGCTTTACAAGTATTACTGTTAGGAATAAGCTGCAAGGACAAGAGGGGTGATGAAAAAAATCAGAGAAATGACATTTATCTTCCGGACCTGACCAAGCCCAAAATAAATTAAATCCTGAAACCCACTATAAAGGAGCAAGGAGTATAAGAGCCAGCATGGTGGTGGACACAGCCGCACCCCAATTGCCTTTCCTCTGCTGTCTAACAGCAGTGGTTAAGAAAATTAGACAGGGCCAGTCACACCAAAGACATGGATCTATTGAAACAAGCCCAGAGAAGAGATACTAAGTTGATCAAAGGGCTGGAACATCTCTCCAAGGAAGACAGGCTGAGCGATTTGCTGCTGTTCAGCCTGAAGAAGGCTCCAAGGACACCTCACTGCACACTAAAGGGGGCCTACAAGAGAGCTGGAGAGGGAAATTTCGCAAGAGCATGTGGTGATAGAACAAGGGGAAGTGGCCTTAAGCTGATGGAGGGCAGGTTTAGACTAGATGTTGGGAAGAAATTCTTTACTGTGAGGATGGCGAGGCGCTGGAACCTGGAGGTGTTCAAGCCCAGGCTGAATGGGGCTCTGAGCAGCCTGGTCTAGGGGAAGCTTCTCTGCCCACAGTAGGTAGGTTGGAACTAGACTAAGATCCCTTGCAACCCAAACCATTCTGTAATTCTATGATTCCAGGAATGTAGAACACAGCCCAAGGACACATCCATACATAGATTGCTGTGGCCCCAGTTCTCTGGCTCAGGTTCTTCAGCCTGCCTCTAATTATAGCATGAATCACAGGTGGGTAGGTTTGGAGGGGTTTTTTCCCCTCACTTTTCTCACTGCAAAAGCAGAGTAAGTGATTTCCACTGATTTAAAATTTATTTAAAAAAAAAAATTCTCTGAAGGGTCTGTTTTTCTCCTGTATTGCTGCAATTCCAATCTGCTGCTGCTCCATTTTGATTTAGGTACGAAGTCAGTGCATTCACTCATCTTTCACGACTGGGTGAACAGGAGCAGGGCTTTAAAATTGCTACAATCAGGAAAGCGATTGCAATCACTAGGTTGTTACAGGAAATTGAGTTAAGTGGAGGAGAGTGCATGAGTGATTGGATTAGTGGTTATAGTTCTGCACAGAACATCTATTAAAATCGTGTGATTAAGAAAAGTTGTTCTTGATTAGTAATACAAGGTTTCTGGTATTTTCTGTTTTATATTTTTTATGGGGAACAGTGAAAAACAGCATTTACCGTCTCTGTTTTGGAGTCAAATCAGCCTGGATGTACATATGGATGTAGTAGAAAAGCCTTTTCGGAAACTAGAGTTTGAACAAGGGACTTAGTAGTTCTGTCTTTAGCCCAGCAATTATATATTCAAATATATTCCAATAATTCATCCTGTAGCCTTTTGGTCCCAGAAAAAATAAAACTGCGTAAACAAGGTTCAGTATTTACGCCTGTACACTTTTTTAATTAAAGGTTTAACAGAAAATTCTTCTCCCTAGAAGTTTTACTGTCTGGAGTCTCTCCTGTACTATGAGCATGGCTCTCCTTGCATAGCTCTGATCCTACCATTGCTGTCAAAATGCAAATCTGGTTTAAAACATGAATATTAGACCTACCATAAGTCTTGTCCTTTCCACTCCCACCTCCAGGCTGTTCATTGCAGGATGTGTGACACATCACAGTGTGTGGATACAGTCACAGGCTGGAGGTTTCTACATCAATCTGGAGGTACTTTTCAGTTTTGAATATGAACAAAAAGACTTCAACTACTTTAGATCAGAAAAGAATTCCTTGTTTCTGACATGCAGTATCTTTAACAAACAAAACCAGTGAGATAAATTGTGGGAGGCAGCAATTTCTCAACACAAAGCAGTCTTATAAATGGCCTGATTTTCCCCAGATTCTACCCAATAATCTACCTAATTAGATGAGAACAATCCCTGCTGTCACACATCTCCTATACAGCTGCAGAGGAGAGACAAAATTTGGAGTTGCACATCCCTTTTCTTGAAGTTCAAACCCCTTCCCTCTGGGACAGAAAGTTTTGTGTTTTAATGAAAACACCAATGACCCTTAACAGCTCTGCACTAAATGACTATAACATGCAGCTTCATTACAGCTCAGTACTTACATAAGAGCGTGAGTCAGAGTGCATCACATAATTAATGAAAATGCAGAGGCTAAAAAGTAACCTGAAGTATATTTAAACACTCTTACAATCACAACCCACTTTTTAAATTGAGGTGGTGAAATAATGGAGCTTAAGCTGTGCAATCTCAGCACTTGATCACTTCCAGGCACTCAGCACAGTCTCTGTTCCTGTTGTATATCCACAGAAAGGGAAAAGGCAGCGAGTGCTTCACACCATCAGGAGGTGGAACAGCTCCTCTTGACTGTGTAGCTGCTGCCCATTTCTCTCTCCTCATTTGTGGCTGGAGGATATTTTTATGGCAGCTTGGTGAAGGGAAGAGTAGGAAACCATTTGCAGATGCTGGAAGGCAGAGAGCAGCGAGGCTGCCTTGGACTAGAGGAGCCAGTGAGGACACGGACAGCTGAGGAGAGCACATGCATTTCTCTGGTCCCTTTCAAGCAGTGATCCAGCTGCTGAATGCTCTGTGAAGCACAAGGGAAACAGTTGGGAAAGCCAACATCCACACAGAATGTACTAGTGCATATCTAGTTACCATCATATCTCCTATTGCCACCCACACAGCCAGAAAGTAACCAAGACCTGCATTTCAGTAATTAGGATGGCCCATACTTCAAATTTACAAGGGGAATTTGGCATCTATCACCTCAAAGAGAAGGGGAGGAGAGCCTGCTGTTCAGTTGTACCAAAGTTACAGAAGTGTCATCTAGATGTCCATGAAGATCCTTAAGGACAGTCCCAAGCAAAAGTACAAAGAGCAGAGAAATGGCAGGAGAGCTCTTCCCCACCTGCACCTGCTTTTCAGTTTACAGGTGTTTGACCTCCCCAAAAAGGCCAGAACCAGCGTGGGGATGAGCTGAACAGGAGTGGTGTGAGA